GCAGACCCCAGTTTGAGTCGGGTGCTTCACTTTGTAGAACGTCGACGGCGTCCATCGAGGCGGGAGCGTGCGGCTGAGCCGGTTGAGGCCCTGCGGCTCCTTAGACATTGGGAAAAACTCACCTTGAACATGGGTGTCCTGTATCGTCTCTCCAAGGACGTTGTTACCAAGAGGAAAACTTTCCAGTATGTGGTGCCCTCTGCGCTAAAGGAGAAGGTTCTTAAAGGCGTACATGATGAGGCAGGTCACCAAGGCCAGAGGCGGACACTCTATCTGACTAGGCAAAGATTCTACTGGCAGGGGATGGAGACTGACGTGGTGCAGTATGTGCGGGGCTGTAGTCGCTGTGTGGTTAGCAAGTCTCCCGAGCCTGAGGCGAGAGCACCACTTGAAAGCGTTTCGACCTCTAGACCCCTGGAGTTGGTTTGTGTGGACTTTTGGTCGGCTGAGGACTCCTCCAACAGGTCCCTAGATGTTCTTGTCGTTACTGACCATTTTACTAAGCTGGCCCAGGCTTACCTCTGCCCCAACCAATCTGCTAAGGCTGTAGCGCAACAACTCTGGAACAACTTTTTCTGTGTGTATGGCTTTCCTGAGCGTGTACACTCGGACCAAGGAGCCAATTTTGAAAGTAGTCTGATTGAGGAGATGCTCCTGGTTGCTGGTGTTCATAAATCTCACACTACACCCTACCACCCCATGGGCAACGGAGCTGTTGAGAGGTTCAACCGCACCCTCGGTAATATGATCAGAGCTCTTCCACCAAAGGCCAAACACCGATGGCCCCAGCTACTGAAATCTCTCACTTTCTCTTACAACGCGACAGTGCATGAGACCACAGGCTTTGCCCCATTCCAACTGATGTTTGGCAGGACTCCCAGGCTGCCTGTTGACTTGTTGTTTGGCTCTGTTCTGTTAGATGATCAGGTGGTGGATTATGATGCCTATGTGCAGTGTCTCCGCCGTGATTTGGCAGACGCTATGAGGGTTGCCCAGTGCTCCACCACCAAGCAGCAGCGGAGACAGGAAAACCTTTATACCAGAAGCTTAAGGGTCCCCGGTGATGTGGTGACAGAGTTCTGCTAGCAACAAGGTGACGAGGAAAAGAAACTGCTGATCGCTGGATGCACTTTACCTGTGTGGGGAACA